GACGGACCTTATAAGGTAATTAAACGTTCTGATAAATTCTTTGTCTTGGACAAAAACGGCCGCGAGGACACCGTCAGCATTGACCGTCTGAAACCGGCTTACTTGGAGGGTAATCCTATTAGCATAGAGCTGAACGTACCCCAAAATCCACAAGTAACAGAAGATCGTGTAGACATCGATGAAGTCGCTAGCACAGCGACAGCTACCGAACCTTCTATCGAGCCTCCCAAGAAAACCCGTTCTGGACGCACCGTAAGGTTCCCAGAATATCTGCACACTTATTTGACTTAACGAAGTCGTGTGATTCACGCAACTCACTCGTTTGTGGTACTAACTATTTTTTTTGACGTATAAATTTTTTTTATATACAGTACCACCGAACACAAAAATTTTTTTTCAACAGTTCATGTAACATACACAAAAAAATTAATTAGATGTATTTTTTTTCGATGTTCTGAACTTAGCATTATTTTACTGTATAGTAAATGCACACAATTTTTTTTAACCAAAAAGCTCATTTCGTACATTTTCCTCGACATGGTTCTTAGCGTTCTTGTTTTCTTTTCCAGGTGCGACGGGCACTGGACGGGAAACAAACGAAGCACGGAATCCAACGAACAACACCAGGAAGCTATGTACAAACACCCTATTAGCATAGGCAGACAAACCAGTAGGCATAAGACCAAGCCGCTCGGAAGATTTTTTTCACCCGAAAGGGAACCATCGAGTTTTTTTACTTCCGGCTGGTTCTGTCTTAGGGTCCTCACGACCCCACTAGGGGGGAGTGAGCTGTAGCGGTAAATAATTCCCCAAAATTATTGACCACAGCAATCACTCATTGGATGCTGACCACCACTGTTTAAGTCGACTTGTTTAGCTGAAGGCTTCCGGTCAAGCATCCCCGCCATTTGGTACCTCGTCGTGTCACGTGCACGATCACTAGCTAGCTAAGCGTTCGTCTAACGGCTTGTTTTGGTTCCTAAATATATCGCTTGGTTTGGACGATCAATTATTGGCTTTTGCTTTGTCTTTGGTACGCGAGAATAAATTAATTAGAAGTTGTTGAACGAGATATCCGTCAACCTTTAAAAGCTTTTGCTGGATTTTGACATCTGGGTTTGCGTGGCTGACAAAAACCATTTTTATGACCGATGATTTTGCACTTGCTGCAACGATGATTTTTGTATGGGCAAGACATTACAAAGTGCCACGCGCCACAATGCCAGCATGGTGATGGAGGGGTCTTCTTTGCAGTATTTTGTGAAGTTGGACGAGTATGTATAGATTTCCGCGGAACATTAGAAGAAGGTGGGTCAGGAGTAGATGATGAAGAGAGATTTTTGCTCTTTCGTAATGCATGAATGTCAGAGCTTCTCGAAGTTGCTGATTCGACCAGGTGTGTGTCTTTCTGCAGATTAATCAGCCGTTGATATTCATCAGCTATGTCATGTAATGTTAACTTGGGATTTTGTTCTACCTGATTGAGCAGTCGAGTTCGGATATCTGTGAAACGAGGAGATTGAAGACTGCATATGAGAATCAAGGCTTTGAACTGATCATCTGTTAAGGACCTGAGTCGAAATCTCTCACATTCTCGGTTGACTGTGCCAACGTGAGTAAGAAAATCATCATTTTCATTCATTGTCAGCTTGAGGAAACGATAACGTATGCTGAATAATGAGGAGTGGTCTCCAAAATGTTCACGCAGCAGCTTTATTGTATCATCGAAACACTTGTCTCGTGGTTTCTGGGGTAAAATTAGGTTGCAGTAACTCTCATATTCTGCGGGACCTAATTTACGTAACAACACTCGCACCTTCCAAGCATCGTCTTGTGAGGCGAGATCAGCAGTGAATAAATCCTCATAACCTTGATACCATGTGTCAAAAGTGACATTAGCATCTGGGTCATAATTGAACTGTGAAATACTGTTCACAATGCCGTCGACAGATGGTAGCATGGTATGATTGGGATTGCTTGAAGGTGAAGCTGGACCAGTCTGTTGGTTGACGAACATTTCCATTAATTTCATTTGTTGTTCAAATAGTAATACCAATTTAGAATGATCCATAATAAATTGTTATGTTTCTGCTGCTGTGTGGTTAATAGTAGTTTTCCCCGTCGCCAAATTGTTATGTACTAGTTTTCCTCGTCGCCAAATTGTTATGTACTCGTCGCTAAATTATTGTTATGGTCTGGTCGAGAAATTAATAGTCCTGACGCGAGAAGGCGGAAATCAGAAGACCACTAGGTTTGCGATGATACTTCTATTGTCCAAACACAAGGAGACGAAAATAAATGGTCTCACACCAAAGTGGTAAGTAAGTAAAAGTAGTTCACACAAATTCTGTGAACGAAATATATATATATATATATATATATAGCAGACATGTCAACAACATCCATATATGGATATATGTCACTAAGCAACGGACTGTCAACAAACACTCATATTATATATAATATACTGGGAATATACATTGGTAAAGGAGACAGGTTCATACAAGTGAAATGGTCACAGACTAAGCGAGCAAACAGAAAGAGAAACCAACATACACACACACATAAATGTATATATGTGGATACATATCAATAACCTTCTAAATAAAGGATTTTAGACAACCAGGGGAATCACTCAACCTCTAATTGACCTCCGGAATCTGACGTTCTTGTTCTTTACTGCTCCTCTTTAGTCTTTCCTGGGCTACTCAAAATGAACTGTGTCATAGTGTAAGGGGGATTAATGATTGTTAGTAGGGTAAGTAGTGTACCACTTAGTTAGCTTGTTAATACTACTACTACCAAAGTCAGTAGACACCTAAAATCACTTGAGAAATGGTCCAAATCCATACTGTCTGTCTCTCAACACTCCCATCTATTCTCAACTCTCCTCTTGCATCTCATCAGGTAGGAACAGAAGTAATTATAAAAGATTGTTTGCTCGTACAACCACAAGTACAGAAACTCAGTGATACCGAATTTGGTTCATGTTCCACGTGATGGTGATAGCGTTAAAGCATGAAACTTATATTAGATGGTCGAAGGCAATGGGCAATCCTGCCAATAATAAATTCAATATTGGTATATACGTAGTTAAATAATCCGAAAAGGTTGGTAGCAAGCATGACTTTCATTGTTGCACACTACAGATACATCATAAACGTAACGACAATAAGAAGTTGTTTCGTCAATTACAGGCTTCAACTTTATTCTTTCAAGATTGGACATGAATACATGTATATCTGCTAAAACAGATCTATGGGGATTGCTCATAGCTACACCATCTATTTGTCGGTAAAGAGTGTTGTCAGACTGTATTTTTAACCATCTTCACTATCCCCGTATATCACCTTAATTGTAACCTACTCATGAAGACGATTACTCTAAAATAAAGGTAAACTGACACACTGGATTAATTCGTACAGAGATTCGTACAGAGAACCTTTTAATGATCCTAAACAATTTGCATACAAACATGGTAGAAGTACCTTGGATGCTGCGGTTGTCTTATATCACAATGTTGTCTCTTGTTTAGACAAAGGTGCTAAATATATTCGTAGTGCTTCCCCAGAATACACATCTGCTTTTGACTCTGTACCTAGGGGCCTTTTATTAAATAAGCTATCGTTGACACAAACAGGATCCTGGGCTAAGAGTTGGTTGCATTCCTATTTTTCTGATAGAATGCAGTATACTGTATATAACGGCAAATCTTCTTCTACCTCGCTTACAAAATCCGGTGTTCCACAAGGTGCTGTACTCTCTCCTTTTCTTTTTTCTTTCTTCCTACATGACCTACCTCATTCAAACGGAACTAACTTTGTTAAATATGCAGATGATCTGACTGTATCACTGTCTACCATTTCCGAGTCTGACAGCTCCAAACTTAATAGCTTTCTGCTGGACATCAACAACTGGTCCAAGTCAAATGGTCTTATATTAAATCCTTCCAAATGTCAGGTGCTTGACTTTACTTTCAAGCATCGACGTAACTTACTTGAACTAGTTAACTCTCATGATCCCTGTAGCATAGATGGCACAAAAATTGAAACCAAATCAAGTATTAAATACCTTGGACTAGTTTTTTCCTCTGACCTTTCATGGTCATCCCATATCTTATCTATCTCTAAGAAAATGTTTCGTCTTACCTTCTACATTAAAAAGTTAAGACGATCAGGTATCAACCAACCTTTAGTTTTGCAATTTTTAAACTCCTGTATTTTACCTATTGTACTCTACTGCTCTCCATTAATCTTTCCTGGGCTGCTCAAAAAAGATTATATCATATTACGAAGAGTATTAAATGCTGTGAGTAGAGCTTGTGGTCTGCCACTGCATGAGCTCGCTAATACTATAGTCGAGAGGCATATAAATTCCTGTACGAAATGGGCAAAGGCTATAATGTCAGACCCTCTGCACCCCCTTTATTCACACCTGTCCCCTTGTATCTCATCAGGTAGGACGAGAAGTCAATATAAAAAGATATATGCTCGTACTACTAAGTATAGAAATTCTACAATACCCTATTTAGCGCGTACTTTATGTGACGAAGACTCTGTTAGACGTGAAACTTACAAGTTACTATGTAATTAGCACAGTGAATCGACCCTTTTATCGTTCATCTTTCTGTATTTTATGGTGTTACACTTTCTATCGTTTAAATCGTTACTCTGCTATTTTATATTAGTTGGTATTACTATTATTACTACAATTTTGTACTTTATACATATTTTTCTCCGTATGGCACACAGTATTTTGCTACGCAGCTGCTACAACAATCCTTTTATTACTATTATGTATTGTGTATTTTTAATTTTTTTTTGTCGTTTTTGGGTAAATTAGATGCAATATTGTACTGAATGCTGAAAATTCCTCGCTGTATCATGAGTACTGTTTTTGGAATAAAGCAATTATTATTATTATTATTATTATTATTATTATTATTATTATTATTAGTCAATTCACGGATTGTTTTCTTTAACATAATCAATAGAACTTACCAATTGTTGTTGTTCCTCCGATTAAGGCTTCTTTTGTAACATTTAAATAAGCTTCTTTATCCAATGAATGAATATCTTGTACCAGATAGGTTGCCATATCAATTCCACCGGGCATAATTAGCATACCACTGGCGTCAATTGTTAATGTATCTGATCCAACTTGAATAGTTTTACCTGTTGAACTAAAAAAACGTCAAAAGTTAACGTCATTGATAAAATCTAGTGTGCTGTCAAGTTTGACTACGGATTGATATTAATAAGAGCACTATGGAACAGCTGGTTTTAGATAGTTTGGGACTCTCCATCCGTACGCACTCATGACTCTACTTCTATGGATCGAACCCAGTGCCCCAAATCTGATGGATCCCACTGAACTTAACTTCTCAGAAGAACTACTGGTGACTTAGTCCTATAGTTAGTTACTAGTGTACATCAGATTCATTTCTTAACGTCAGTTTGTGGGCATTTGACTGGTTTTAATTCTAATGACAGGCTGATTTATTACAACATGAAGTTGCGACCAATGAGATCCATCTAGTCGGATGCAAGGACAAACACTGACCGATGAAATTAGTTGACAGTGATGCTATATATATTGTGAATGTACAGGAGTTAGGATTCATCAACAGCTGAATGGTCGATGAGGTCGCTTCGTAATCTGAGAGCTTGTGTTCGATCCCTTGAGATAGGGTCGCGTGTGAGTATTGCCGAAGAGTTGAAGGATAAAAAGAAACAGTTGTTCAGGATTCCCGGTGGTTTTTAATAGTTCTCTAATTGATAACAATCCCTCAACAAACTTGAAGTCGATCGAATCCCTACAGACTGACATTTGAAAATGTTTTCTCGTTAAGAAGGTATTGGATTCGGTCAAACGGGTCCCTAGGACTTTTTATTTTATATTTCTACGACTTTAATGCGCATGGTGATGTTAATGTTAATATCAGTGATGTAAGATTATAGGTTTCCAGACCGTAGGTGTTACGAATTTCCTGGAATAATTTGAGCGCCGAGTCAGACTGATTCATTATAAATTATTTAAATTAATCCCAGCGTGTTAAGAAAATCAAAACAAAAGTTTTCTGAACGTTTCACCGTGTAAGCCACAGCTGCTTCTTCAACAGATTTATTCGGATTAAAATTAATCATCAAAATATATAATATAATTAATATATCAAAATATATTTTGATGATTAATTATAATCCGAATAAATCTGCTGAAGAAGCTGTGGCTTACACGGTGAAACGTTCAGAAAACTTTTGTTTTGATTTTCTTAACACGCTGGGATTAATTTAAATAATTGATAATGAATCATGGATGTAATTTTATTTTCAAGTATTGGTTTTTGTAGGGATTTTGTTTGATTGCATGGAGGATTTAATCATGAGCTGACATCAGTTTTATTTCACGCGTCCTCACCAACTGCAGCTCTTTTAACTGAAATCACAGTGCTTAGTTCGGGATTCGATCCCCTGCCGACGACGCACACCTGATATCTATGGTCGGCCTGCAAAATTTGGGCTACAGATATTCATGCTGAAAATTCCATACTTGTACCAAAAATACAGTGTGGAATCAAGCTGTAATCAAAAATAAAAAAATAAATTATATATATATATATATATATATATATATAATTTTAGTTGGATAAGCGAACTTATGAACTAAATCGAAGATTCACGAAAATTACTGGTTAGTGATAACCTGCAGGGATTATAAGACATTAATTATAATTAATTATCTGGTTAATTATAAATGGTATATCGATGCATTAGAAAGTCTAATTATAAATAAGCAGAAGATACCTATTAGTAAAATTTGGTGTGTCGTGTTAAAAAGACCTTAGTGATATCTGAACACATCTTTATTTTCGTATATAATTCAACCGAATTCCATATTAATTTGTTAATTTTGATATATCACACAGTCACAGAAACAATATTGTTTACGGGATATTGACGTTTCGAACACACTTTATTTATTGTTCATTATGATATCATTAAATATAATCAAACAATTTCGAAACTTGAATTTTATAGTCTTCTTTGTTCTCTCCTATTTGTCGCCATTGGGGTAGTAGAATTTTCCAGATATCTGGGTGAACAGGTGTTGAATCATTCCTATTGCACGTGTTCTCTCTCAGTTGATTCGATAAACAAAGCTTCTGTTATCAATCTCTCCCTCCACCCTGTTACATTAGATTTTAAAGCTGTCATTTTATCCCACCGCATAGTATTGTATGGTTGTGTGTAGTAGTGTGTGTAGTGCTGTAGCTGAACTATTCTCTAGATTTCTTATCTTATTCGGACCAACTAATCTAGGTTTGTATGCTCCGCTAGTCTGACTGACTGATCCTGTCATTCCAGCAGGATATTAGATAAACTTAATTGTTCTGTTTAATTAGCTTCACAGGATCCTTATCAGACAAGGCTTGTTTCTAATTAAGTTCATGGGGTTCAAATACTAGCCAAATCTTTTCCTGTCTTCTTTGTTAAGAATTTTCCGAATATTTTCTGAGGTTCTTTCTTTGTATGGAAGTAAATATTACTGATGATTTATACTTCCTATTGTTGGTGTTGTCTTGCGCATGTTTAACATGCATGTCGTCATTAATATTACTATTATTATTATTATTATCACTATCACTATTATTATCATCGATTTTATTTTTATCTTTACATTTTCCTACATACTTTCTGGTTAATTTATCAGGGTGATTATGAAGTTTCAAAGCTTCCCTTATATGCCTCACTTCCTGTTTTAGATTTTCCTTGGTACTACTTAGTTTTTGTGCCCCCTTGCTTTAAACATTTCATCAATCCTATTTTCATTGACATAGGATAGGATAATCGGAAATTCAGTGAGCATTGAATCCCTCACTCTTAACTAACAGTATAGAACTTAGCAAAGAAGTGCATCAGTGGAGATTGTCACATTCATAGGTGGCGAAAAGACATTAATAAGAATAACAATAATCAGAAATGTGCGGAAGAAAGAACAGTAATATAGGAAAATGTGAAAACGCAATTGATCCACCTGAGTTACAAATCTTCTCCATTATATTACAGAGAGTGCATTCATTTGTACCTTTGACATTGATTTTAAGCCATGTCACTCACTAATAGTCTCAAGCCATCAGCTCTTAGCATTTCAAAAAACTTAAGAAAGTTTTCAGCAAATAAAGGAGTAAGACAAGGCTGCTTGATATCACTGATGACATTCTTAATTGTGGTGGACTGGATTATGCGGTACACTGTGTGTGGAGAGTAAGAAGACAGGAATACGCTAGACCACCGACAAGAAGACTCTACAAGGCCTGGAATTCGAGGCGGATGATTTATGTCTAATTTTACACAAACTCGAAGACTTGCAGATGACAAACAATAAACTGGCTGAAGAAGCAGCAAACATAGAAGACATGATACAATTGGTGGATGGTGGCTAGCAGTAGAATCCAGGATAAAGCGCATTTCGTCCTATTTGGGACTCGTCATCTGGATGTACCTGCATTTCTCAGTGAGTGATGATGTTCCCACTGAGGCTCGAACCCAGTACCCATATTTTCAAACGCCAAAGCGTTATCCACTAGACCACTTGGGCCACGAGAGCCACCTCTTGTGCAACGGGTCATATGAATTATTCGATTGAATTTTTGATTTTCCCGTCGATTGATTGGACCGAAGTGCTCGGTCTCAGGTTGACATGTCGGCTTCTTGTGCAGATGCTTCGACGATGTCTGGGGATTTGATTTGTATACAATTGGTGGATTCCACTGCTAGCCACCATCCACCAATTGTATACTAATTAAATACCCAGACATCGTCGAAGCATCTGCACAAGAAGCCGACATGTCAACCTGAGACCGAGCACTTCAGTCCAATCAATCGACGGGAAAATCAAAAATTCAATTCAATAGAAGACATGACTTCAGGTGAACATGGAGAAGCCGGAGGTGATGAAGAAAACCAATCGACAGCAACAACAACAACAACAACTAGAACAGATCACCACCAAGGTTACTTCCTTCATTAATCTAGTCAGAAAGTACGGTTTCAACCACAGTGGATAGCAGGGATGAAGACGTTAAAGTCAGTCAGAATCAAAAAGGCAAGACAGATCTTTATCAAACAGAAACCAGTTTGGAAATCTTATGCACTGCACTCAGCCAGCATATAGAACAAGATTCGGATTTTTTCAACGCAAATGTGAAGTCAATCACTCTCATCCTACACGGGTCAAATACTTCCTCAGAGTGTCACGAGAAGGAAGGTAGTTACAGACTTTTATGAACAGCTTCCACATTAGCTGGCTGGCTGGCTGGCTCCATACTGAAGATCAAATAGCAAGCTGACCGGCCAGAAAGAATTACCAACGAGAAACTCTGTCTGGCAACAAACCAACAGGCGAGAGCCGATTGCTCAACAGATATGTAGGATAAAATGGATATGGATAGGGCATACGTTGAGGAAGAAGGCGGTCGAATGACATTGCAAGCAATGCAAGCCATCGACCGAGTGGAATTCCAATGAGCTGCGACGACTGGGTCGTTGGTGCGAGGTTGACATGGAGGAGATGAGAGATTTTGCCAATCATGGACCCAGCTGACGAGAGCAGAAAAAATAAGATTAAAGAGGAGATTTGTTGTTGAACTCCTATGTTCTACTCAGACCCCAAGGGGATTTGTCTACACCTCCCCCCATATGGCTACATCATATCAACTGTCAAAGACTTCTTGGGCTGATAATAGATTTTAGTTTGACCACCCCCTAATTCTTTTCACATCACCAAATCTATAATTTATTCGATTTCCTTTTTCTTTTCTTTTGTATAACCACACTTGATGTCTAACATTCACCTACTATGGTCGTGTCAAATTAAACTTAAAAAAAATGTCTTTGTTACCATTCTGTCTAGGTCATTTTGTTTGAATAAACCTGTGCGTGATTACGTCACCATTTCCATTTATGTCTGAATTCATCTTTCAACTCATTAATATTCATTTTCCTATCTTATATGAAGACTACTCTTTTCATGGGAATTTTATTTTCCTAACTTTCTTTATAATTTTGAAGTTATGTCTCTCTTAAGATGAACTGGTTATCCCTTTACAATGTGTTGAAAATTATTTCCCAGATTATTTTGAAATCTTGTATGCAGCTGTGCGATAAAATGTATTTTTCTTAT